GAAGATATGCGTCTCATGTCTGGGTGTTTTGTTTCGCGGAGTTTCAGTGCATTTAACTGATGCGTTTCTAAAAACAGTTCACAGAGAGAAATGACAGAATGCCTACACTGCTTATTATCCTTGTTTTGCAAAAGCACACACATTTGTTTTTGTTGTGAGTGTACACATTTAAAACTAGACACCCAACAGATTGGATTGATCTATTGATCTTATCTGTATGATCAAAACTGAAAGTGTTATTTAGGTTCATTTCAGCTCAATGAGGTAAACACTTGTCAGAACGCGTAAACGCGGTCTTCGACCCCAGGGGGTTAAACAAGCTCATACTCGACAAACAAAAAGTGAAATCAATGAGGAGGCATGGAGACATAACACAAAATTGAAATCAAGTAATTTTCGCATGTCAAATTTATGCATATACAATATATTTTCCCAACAAAATATTTTAGTTCTTGATGATAATTGATAATTTTCAGCAGAAATAATGAGCAAAATATAAAAAATTTGTTGAGTTTAGTGGCATTGTTTACATTTTGCTCATCAATATGGCTGACTATGTGTCATGAAAACACTCTGTAGTCTTTTTGTCAGCAGCAGAGATGAAAATATTTATATTTGTCCTTAAATGAAAGCTGAACACTTCAGATTAAAAAAACAGGTCAACAGAAAGAGGAGGATCATTTAGCTCAAACTTTAGAAGCTCAACTTTAGTGACCCGTTCTCTGCTGATGGAGTCGCTCTGAAAGCGTCGCTCCCTCGAGCTCTGACGCCCTTGAAAATGAAAACGCTACAGATATTTAAAGCAGTCGTATTATTAAAGTTCTTGTTCCTGCGAATCTATTTTTCAGCTGTTTCTCTCTGTGCTTTGACAGGCCCGTGACAGTAAAGTAAATTAGTCCACTTTAACCTGTGGCCCCGGATCATTTCTCAAAGGCACCTCTTTTTACCTGTGCGCCGCTCCATTCAGGGTCTAATTTTAGGAAACTGGAGACATCAAAGCCCGAGCGGCTCCATCCCAGAAAATCACAGCAAATCCCCATGACTTATCGCGCTGGGCTTCGTTCGAACCCTTGGCCTGCTCAAAGTGGATCTGGGGAATTAGACACCATTGACTGTATGAAGACGAGACTGTACAGAGCTGTGTGCTGCAGGGTTGCCAGGTTTTCACAACAATACAGCCCAATTGCCAATCAAACTAGCCCAATATTGTTAAAACTCAAAATATGCCACCGCTGCAAGGGTGCCAGGTTTTCACACCAAAACTAGCCCAGTGGTAAATAAAAACTAGCTTAATCAAAACTAACCCAATTGTCAATTAAAACGATTTCAATGGCCACTCAAAACTACTTCAATGACCAATCGAAACTTGCCCAGCGGCCAATCAAAACTAGAATAACCCAATGATCAATTAAAACTACTTTAATGGACAATTAAAACTAGCCCAAACAAAATTAGCCCAATGACTAATTAAAACTACCCCAGTGGCCAATCAAAACCAACCCAATAGCCAATGAAAACTACCCCAGTGGCCAAAAAAACAACAACTAAATGACCAGTCAAAACTTGCTTAGGGCCAATCTAAACTAGAATAATTAAAACTAACCCAATGATCAATTAAAACTACTGTAATGACAATCAAAACTAGCCTAAACAAAACTAGCCCAATGACCAATTAAAACTATCCCAGTGGCCAATCAAAACCAACCCAATAGCCAATTAAAACTACCCCAGTGGCCAATCAAAACCAACCCAATGGCCAATGAGAACTAGCCCAGTGGTTTATCAAAACCAGCCCAATGGCCAATCAAAACGTGTCCAGTAGCCAATCAAAATTAACCCAAAAGACAAATCAAAACTAGCCCAGTGGCCAATTAAAAATAGCCCAATCAAAACTGACTTAATGGCCAATAAATACTAGCCCAATGACAACTCAAAACTAGCCAAACCTTACTTAGAGACCAATAAGAAATTAGCACAATCAAAGTAGCCCAATGACCAATCAAAACTAGCCCAGTGGCTAATCAAAACGAACCCAATGACCAATCAAGACTAGCCCAGTGGCCAATCAAAATGAACCCAGCTCAGTGGCTGATCAAACCTAATCTATTGGCCAATCAAACTAGCCCAGTCAAAACCAACCCAATGAACAATAAATAGTAGCTCAATGGCCAATAAAACTAGTCCAATGACCACTCAACACTAGCCTAAACTAACCCAGAAACCAATAAAAAACTAGCCCAATCACAGTAGCCCAATGACCAATCAAAACTAGCCCAGTGGCCAATCAAAACTAGCCCAGTGGCCAATCAAAATAAACCCAATGATCAGTCAATACTAGCTCAGTGGCCAATTAAAATTAACCTAATTGCCAATCAAGACTAGCCCAGTGGCCAATCAAAATTAACCCAATGTCCAATCAAAACGAGCTCAGTGGCTGATCAAACCTAATCTATTAGCCAACCATAACTAGCCCAGACAAAACTAGCCCAATGACCAATAAATACTAGCTCAATGGCCAATTAAAACTAGCCCAAATGACCACTCAACACAAGCCAAAACTAACCCAGAAACCAATAAAAAACTAGCCCAATCACAGTAGCCCAATGACCAATCAAAACTAGCCCAGTGGCCATTCAAAACTAGCTGTATAGGTAAAAATGTAATGGATGAGTTTAGAAAAACTCAGAAGTAAAGCCCAAAATTGTGAAATGAATCAATTAAAGATTAATAAAAAACCTAGAAACATAGAAGATATTCCTAATTAAATTGGAAAACTTTATTCTACATATTCCTTCCAAGTTATTAATATTTATCTACAATCCTGGAGAGTCCTGCCAGTCCGTTACTATAGAAACAAAAGTGTGCTCACTCCGTTTCATCAGCATAGCACAGTTTTTATCAATGGTAGAACATCAATTTGGCAGAATACAATATTTCAATGCAACTATCTTAAAATAATTGATGCATTATGTCAAATCTTTAACCCACAGACTAAAAAAA